CCCGATCTGCCGACAAACAGCTGATCGGCAGATCGGGGCAGCCATTTAAATTTAAATGAAGCCGCGATTATTTTAATCGCGGCTTCATTTCCCCCTTCCGATCTGGCTAATCTACATGCCTCCGTCGACGGAGGCATGGAGTCTGGACACAGCCCTAGTGGTTAAGGATTAGAATGGAAAGCAAAATTCCTGTTCTGATCCCTTCTGGGCTTGTTCCTGCTCCCTTGAAGCCAATAGGATCGTTAGTCAGGAGAGCAGGGGCAGGGCCTAGATTATGTCAACTGAAAATTATTAAAAAATCAGATTCCCTTGCGTGCTTCATTTGCTATGTGCTTTTCTCCAGCACGGACAAAGAAAACACACCAGGGAGTGCCTCTCTCTGCTGCTCTTGCCTGACTAGCACGAGGCTGCAGCGCTGTGAGGCCAGGAAGCTTTATGCCCAGACTAATTTTTTTCACTCTTACTATTTTTTTAAATCTCACCACGTCATTGCATAGACTTGATACAGCCCATTCCTCACATTTAATAAAACCGAAATGATGGATTTGAAGGACCTGGCAGAGCTGCCTGATCTTCGGGCCAGCAAACTCTGATACAGCACCAAGCACAATGAGATCTCCATTTCGGTTTGGGCCGCTAGGTCACAGGTCCCCAAACTGAGGGGGGGCCTAGAGAAACATTCAGGGGGGTGCAGCACGACCCTGGCCAGCCCCCACAGGGGATGGGGAGGGAACACCAGCCTGTTCTGCTCTGCTCTGGCTCCAGCTCAAGCCCTGTCTCCAGCTAAGAAGGGACATCCGCCCCTGACCACAGTCCAGCCCTGCTCCCAGCCACAACCCCGACTGAGGCTCCAACCTCAGAGTCAGCTCCCGGCCCCGCTCCTGGGCCCCTGGGCAGGAGAGGGCACAGACACACTACATTATGGCTAAGGGAGGGCATGACATGACAAGTTTGGGCACCACTGCTCTAGGTAGTAGAGTGATAATAACAACTTCACTAAGTGGAAGGCAAGGTCAGTGGCATACGTAAGGCCCGCAGTACCACGCAATCGGATCACAAACCCCCTTTGATATCACCAATACTGCTAAATGGCAACTGAATGAGAACTGACATTAATGTCCCTTCAAAGCATGTTACTTAAACTCACCTTTCAATGAGAAAATCCTTGTCCCATACTTCAGGGCCACAAATCGGAAGTAATCCCTCCACAGGAGCTCAAATATGACCCTAAAACACATAAGCCATGTCTTCATTTCTGCCTCTGATCAATATAAAGATGGGGTGCAATCCTGACCCCACTGAATTCAATGAGGGCTTTGCTATTGACTTCAGAAGCGCCAGGCTTCATTTCACCTAATGGCCATCACTAATCACATCCAGTGTTTTATTTACACCACGTCACGTTGCAAATATGGTCACGTGACCAGGCCATGCACAAAATCTACCAGCCTGATTTTTATCATGAGGATTATAACAGAAAAAGTCCTCACTGAGTACAGTGGGTGGATCGCTTTCCAAACCTCACGCCAAAGCTTGAACAGAACAACTTAACACTCTTCTGGGGTGCAATTCTGCACTTCTGAGAGGTGCTGAGGCTCTGAGGTAGCAAAGCCCGTGCATATTTTTAAACTCCTTCCTCAATGCTCTACTGACTGAGAAGGATTTAAGCAGAGACCTCCATAGGACTTAATGGCCTTCAGCTTCCTTCAGGAGATGTTCACTGACTAGCAGGATCAAGTTGTTGATTGTTTACAGTCACTTATAGTAAAGTCAGCTGCTATCTATGCACAAATAATTGATGTGATAAGCCACAACTCCTAGACACCTGAGATCAGCATCATCCACTGCCTGGGCAAAAATGTTCTGCTCACAAGATCTCTCTGGAAGTCTGGTTTAGATTATAGGCCAGGACATAAGAACATAAGAACGGCCGTACTGGGTCAGACCAAAGGTCCATCTAGCCCAGTAGCCTGTCTGCCGACAGTGGCCAGCGCCAAGTGCCCCCGAGGGGGTGGACCGAAGACAATGATCAAGCGATTTGTCTCGTGCCATCCCTCTCCAGCCTCTGACAAACAGACACGGTGCCAAATGAGGGACAAGAAAACCACCGTCATGCAACAAGATAAAATAAACCTCATACACACGCCATCCCCAAAGAGACAGTTTGTGTTCAGCAGTGTTATCTATTTCAGTGACTGGGATGTGTTTAGCTATTTCATCATGTCCTTTCACATGTATTTGAAAACGTTTATCATTACAGTGTCTGTTTGTTGGACATCAGAGACACAGGATTGGAAAAAAACAAGAAAAAATTAGCACATGCATTTTGGAAATGTGCTGCTTTTTTTTAAGTTTAGACCACTGCAAAAACACACACCAAACTATTTTTAATCAAAATTTTGAATTTAAACACAGAAAAACAATACAGAAAACTTCTGACCAATTTTGCTGACACTGATTTTTTGACCAGCCAGAAAGCTGGCTAACACTTTTTTTGGAAAAACATCACAAAAAGGGATTTTTTTTCCTGTTTTCTCAACCACATCTAGCATTAGGCCTTGATCCAAGTGGATATATTTAACTGTACAACTGTGAGTAATGCCACTGAAATCCAGAGGACTACTCACGGCAAAACAGTTAAGCAAGCAAAGCATGGTAAAACGGTTAAGCCACAGATGGCTGGTTAGGGTCTCAGATACAATGGTGATATGATTGATAAAGAAGGCAAGACAGTCACACAGGGAGTCTATGTTATTTTATAATATTTCAAATATGATGTCAAATCCTGGCCATGTTACTAATATGAGAAATCTCATTCTTTCCAGAACGATCTTGTTTGCTCTGACTTTGTAATGCATCGTAGAGAACAATGAAGGAATTACTTTATTATTAGTCATAATCGTCTAATAATAATAATTAATATTAACTATTTCTACTCGCAAGATACTCAAGGCCTTTTGGTGACCAATGTAACCAATATTAGAAACAGAAATTCAATGGGGCCTGGTAGTAGTCAGCAAGCAAGCTCAGGAAACACCAAAGTTAATCAAAAACAATTGTCGTGAATCATTTCCTCTTCTAGTTCATCTACAAACTAGATGTAAGTGTACATTTCAAAGACAAAAAGAAAGCCATGTTGATCTGGTTGTGTCCTACCAGTATGTGCTCTGATTTGCAGTTCTCTCTTTCTCATACTTCCGGATCTGCTCGTAAATATATCGGGGTGAAATACAGCCTAATGCTAGCCTGTAAACACAAGGGCAACATTTAAAAAGCAAGACCATTATAAGGAAATGAGACCTCAAGGCATATACAAAGACAGTGTTTCTCAACCTTTTATTATAAAGTACCCCTTTAAAAAAAAAAAAGTTATAAATACCTCCAGTACCTCCAGTTTTCAGACACACGAATTTTTTTTGTATCATTGCAACACATTTGTTTAAACAACTTAATCATAGCTGGGCAGGCGATGAAATTTTTGGGTGTAAAAAATACAAAAATAATAAAGCGCTATAAATCTTAACACAAAAATTCCGTTTTCTCCAAATTTCAGTTGGGTTGACATACCCTCCAGACTTCTCTCAAGTACCCCTAAGGGTACTCGTACCACTGGTTGAGAAACACTGCACAAAGAGAAAGGGAGGATTGCCTTGTGCTTACAATGCTAGAGTAGAACTGAGAACACCTTTGGTCAGTTCCCCGTTCTACCACTGGCTCTCTGAGCCCTGGTCTACACTACAGCTTTATTTTGAAATAACCCACCTCTTGGTCAAATGCATAAGCGGAGCATCCACACTATCAAGCCCGTTATTTTGAAATAGGAGACCACTTACTTCTAAATCTGTACTCCTGCTTTTCTCGGGGAATAACGCTAATTCCGAAATAGCGGTAGTATGGACCCTCCGGTGCCACTATTTTGAAATAACTACTCCCCAGAGTAACTCGAACTAATTACACGCCAGTGCTTCCAGGGGCTCCAAGCTGAGGTAGTGCATCCACATTTATGGAGCCTGCCTCGGACTAATTTCGAGGCTTCCCCATAGTGGGGACATGCTATTTCGATTTTGTAAAATTGGGAGGTATTAAGTTGAATTTAGTATTTCAAAATAGTTTCCTAGTTTAGACATGGTCTGAATGACCTTGGTCAAGTCATGCAACCCAGCTTTACAGCATGTGTGATAATCCCTCCCTCACAAGGAGAAGCTCATTCATCTCTGTGATTCTACCGTGATGGGAGTCATCGAATACCTCGGTGGATAACTTTACACAGGGAAGTTTGAAAGTTTTGCCCTAGGTGACTTGTTCAAATCAGTCGTGGTTTTAGTGATAGAAATGTAGCCGTGTTAGTCTGGGGTAGTTGAAGCAAAATGCAGGACAATGTAGCACTTTAAAGACTAACAAGATGGTTTATTAGATGATGAGCTTTCGTGGGCCAGACCCACTTCCTCAGATCAAATAGTGGAAGAAAATAGTCACAACCATATATACCAAAGGATACAAATAAAAAAATGAACACATATGAAAAGGACAAATCACATGATTTAACTAGTGAATCAGTGACAAAACCAGAAATGGAATCCAGAAAGTCAAATTCCCTGTCCTCTGTTCCCGCCACTGGAAACCCTTTCTTTGAATACAAGTCTACTACTCCAGGGGAAATTCTGAGCCATTGCAGCACAGCAGAAAAATACCCCCTCGCCCCACACACACAAATTTTCTTGGCTTCCTTGCAGAAAATGATTTGTGTGAGGGGGCAAAGAGAAACCGCACCAGTGCTCACTCACCCCTCCCAGCAGCTTGAACGCCCTGTTCAGGCAGCCTGGGGAAAGAGATAAATCACTGGGGGGAAGAGATCTGGAAATGCCCCAGTCACCGAGGGACGTTCGTTCCAGCTGTGGTGGGGAGGGGGCAGGGGAAGATGGAGATGAGTTCCCCTCCTCCTTCCCTGCACAGAGCAGCTGGGAGTTGATCTAGGTCAGATCAAACCCCAGAAACTTCCCGTGGCTGCAGGAAGCTCTGAACCACACAGGCAGGGACCTGGCCAGAAGTGCAGGGAGGGGAGTCTCACGGTGGAAGTTCCAAGTGTAGGGGAGTGAAGTTTTGCTGGGGGACTGGGTGCGAGGGGATGTGGATGCATTGGGCTTGAGCCAACAGGGGGTGCAGCTCCCTGTACAGCAACCCCTTTTCTCACCCACATTCCCAGAACCCCCCCACAAGCTCCAACTTCACTGAGCCTCACCCCTTACATCAGGAGCCCCCACACACCCAGACCTCCCACTGAGCCCCAACCCACTGCACCCTGACCCCTCCACCCCAATAAGCCCCACTCCTTCTGCCCCCCAGCCTTAACCACTTTTACTTGGATGCTCCTGCAGAGACCCATTTCCCCCACACGGAACCCGTGCACACCCGGATCCCCCATGAAGCTTCCTCTATCCAGACTGTGCCATAGAAAGCCCTGGTACACTTAAGAGAATTCTGCACAAAAAACATGGTTTTTAATTTAAATTAAACTAAGTTCTGAATATTTTAATTTAAATTCCACTAAGTTCTGAATATTTTAATTGTCAAAACGACACAGAAACACAACAACAATATAATCACTCCATTTCAATTATCTTGGTAATTTATTTCAAAATACTTATCAACAAACATTTGAAAATGCTGTGATTACATTGTATTGTTCTGATAAATAAAATATGTAGAATTTTAAAATATTGTGCACAGAACTTTTAACTTTTTGGCACAGAATTCCCTTAGGTACTGCTGATTCTAGACACCTTTGGGATCTGAGAAATGCTTTTATCTTGATCTTTCTTGAATTTTATTTGAATAGATCTTGAGTGGACAGTCATTTCAGCAGGTGAAAATGTTTAAGAAACAGGTGACTTTTGAAAAAATATGGACACAAAAAGATTTTCCTTGGTTTTAACCCTTTCAATATGTCTATCTGCAAAGTCAAGTGGCAGGTGCAGGAATGTGACTAGCTGGAATTCTATTTGACAATTATTTTATCTTCCAAACACCGACCCATAACTTTCACAAACAGAGACGTGACTGTATGCCTGATGTCATGTAGTTGAATGTGAGCACTTCAGCACATGGACTAATCTTGTTCCATTTGGAAAGCACTTAGCTGATTGTGGACTCAACCAAAAACAAATGTGAAGTCATGCTAATATCCTGCCACAAAGCAATAGTCCATGAAAGTGGCCCCAGAATCCATTGATCCCAATTTCAAAAGGAGAAATACCAGATCTGAATAACTTTCACTGTTGTGTGTGGCAACGTTGTAGCTGTATTGATCCCAGGATATTAGCGAGAGTAAGCTTAAAAGCTTTTCTCTTCCACCAACTGAAGTTGGTCCAATGAACGCTATTACCTCACCCACCTCATCTTTCTAGATCTTAATAAAACACAAGAATGTTCCTAGAAAAAAAACCAGATTTGATTGCAGTTCAGTCAGGGACATGGGAGTCTTAATACAGTGTGATCCTGTATCCGTCCATTTGGTAGCTGATCAGATAAGTAGCACACACCCCTGAAAGTCTCTCTGACATCAGGACAAATTTGGTTCTGCTATACCAGTGTAAATCTGGAGTTAACTCAGTATCTCCCAAGATTGGGCTCACGGTCCCTACATAAAAAAGTATCATGTCTTTAAAAACTCAACAGATCAGATATGTCAGTGTTCACTGGTTGTACTGCGCCACTCCTGCAGTGAGGAGTGCCCATAAACTCAGCAGATCTGGCCAGGTGAAGCTGGCCTCTGCCATGCCACTGCCCGATTCCGGATTTCAATGCAGTGGGCACTGCTATGGCATATCCACACCTCTGCGATTCACAGCTACAACCAACAGTCCAGTGGGAACTTCCAGCAACTGGCATTCTGTGGAGCAGTCCTAAGACTATGCTGCTTTACTCTTGGATACCAAACCAGCCCTACAATGAGGGACAGGGCCTAAAGGCATTTTACAGCTGCCTTTGCTTTACAACCTCAATAAGCCATTGCTAAAGGCAGCTCAGACACAAACACAGTTCCATGCCATCAGAACCTGATGTTTCAACAGTCACATGAAATTAAGGAAGAATACTTACCATGGTGCAAACTTGGTTGAATAATCTATTCCTATCAGTCCGTTTCGAGTCTCCTTGTAAGATGCCACCAGGTTCTATCCAAGGAAAAATTAAAAACGTTATCTACACAGCTGGCAAATTTATACTTTCCCGATGTTAGAGACAGGCATTTTTGCAGGACAATGGTCCCTCTAGTGGCAATCTAGCAGCATTATTTTGCTGTCAAATTATTCCTGCCAATGCATAATATTTAATGGCCCCAGTAGTTTTTATTACAGATCCTAGTTTAGTTAAATACAGATAGTCCCCGACTTATGAACAAGTTACGTACCAAACACTTGGTCGTAACTCGAGCTGTTCATAAGTCAGACTCCATGCATTTATGTGACTGCGCTGTTCGTAAGCACAGATCACGCGTTCATAACTCGGGGACCAGCTGTAATGCGCTTCATGGGAGGTTGGTCCAAAATACGAACGGTCTTAAGTCGATGCATACATAACTCGGAGACCATGTGTAAATTCTGCGTCCTGCTTTACTCCGTAGTAGATTTTTACAAGCACAATGGGATATGGTCTCACTGATTCCTACTGGGAATAATAAATCAATCAATCTCAGAGGGGTAAGTGTCTTAGTCTGTAACTTTAAAAACAATGAGTTACATTGTTACATCCTGTGGTGCCTTAGGCTACGTCTACACTGCAATGCTATTTCGGGATACTGAAGTATCCCGAAATAAATATCCTGCATTTTCACAGCAAGTCCATTATTTCAAAATATAACCGGCTCACTATTCTAACATGAAGACAGATTAAAAAGACTTGGACTTTTCAGCTTAGAAAAGAGGAGACTAAGGGGGGATATGATAGAGGTCTATAAAATCGTGAATGGTATAGAAAAAGTTAATAAGGAAAAGTTATTTACTTATTCCTACAATATAAGAACTAGGGGTCACCAAATGAAATGAATAGGCAGCAGGTTTAAAACAAACAAAAGGAAGTTTTTCTTCCCTCAGCGCACAGTCAACCTGTGGAACTCCTTGCCAGAGGGTGCAGTGAAGGCTAGAACTTTAACACGGTTCAAAAAAGAGCTAGATAGATTCATGGAGGTAAGGTCCATAAATGGCTTTTAGCCAGGAGGGGTAGGAATTGTGTCCTTAGCCTCTATTTCTCTGGAGGTGGGTGATGGGAGGGATCATGTGAGGATTACCTTTTGTGATCCCTCCCTCTGGGGCATCTGGTATTGGCCACTGTTAGCAGACAGGAAACTGGGCTAGACGGACCTTTGGTCTGACCCAGTATTATGGCCGATCTTATGTTCTTCTTACGTCCCTGTAAACCTCATTTTACGAGGAGTAAGGGACGTTCTGGAATAGTAAACAGCACCAAATTATGAAATAAACTATTTCAAAATAAGATCAAAATAAGATACACAATTTGTGTAGTTCAAATTGCGTATCTTATTTCGAGCTACAGTGCAGGGTTAATGCACATTTTGAGAATAACAAAAATATATATAGTATCATAAGCTTTTGTGGGCAAAACCCATTTCATCAGATGAACTGGAAAGGAATAACAGAAACCCAAAATGTTATATCAGAAAAAGAAGTGGGGGGGAGGGGGGAAGAAACCTGTAAATTGTAGCTTATGAGACTAATTAAGTGGGCTGGTAGTGTCCCATATTTAGCTTTTGATGTAAAAATGAGGTGTTAAATGCAGGGAAGGCTGGCTTTATAAGGCAACATTCAGTTAATGTCTTTGTTCAAGCCCAGGAAAAGAGACTGTGACCTGCTGAGTGATTTTAGGCAAGTCACTCTGCCTCTCGCTCAGTGCCTCAGTTTCCCCATCTAACACACAGAGATAAATGATGGTGGTTTCCGTTGTAAAGTGTTTTGAGATCCATAGAGGAAGAGTGCCACATAGGTGATGAGGAAATCCCAGTGGGAGCTGAAACTTCTGCCTGCCCCACTAGGGTGTCATTCTGGCAGGGGGAGGTAAGAGAGGGCACTGGGGGGAAATGCACACACTTACCGTATCCCAGAAATAATGCTGCAGCCTCATTAAGGCCTGAGTCTCTCCTCCACTGCAGGGGAAGGCTGTTCGCGGATCAGCCAGAGGCTCTGCCATGGAAAGCAATGAAAACAAGCCACTGGAGGCAGCCCAAAGGTAGGGTGAACCAAAACCACGGGGGAGATGCCTACAGGGCTACGGGTTTGACTCTTGCTGAGTTAATATGGAAACATTAGTCTCTGTCACACGTGAACGGGAACTCTCCTCTGTGCCACGCCCTTAAGTGGCAGGGCCACAAATGAGGGCTCTGAGTCCGCTACTGTTGGAAGGTGCAGGAGTTAGCCCAAGCAATAGAGGCTTATGCTTAAGAACAGGAGCGGGAACCTTTTTTGGGTCGGGGGCCGCTGACCACAGAAAAAACAGTCGGGGGCCACACACGAGAAGCAAAAACGAAACCAACAAAACCCCCAACCCTCCCTGACATGGCCCCTGACTGAGAAGAAGAAAGACACGCCCCACACCCCACATCCCACTCCCCCAGCCTAGCAGTTTTTGTGTGCTCCAGCCCCGTGGTGGGGCAGCAAGGAGACTGGAGTGCACAACAACTACTAAGCTGGAGGGTGGGGGGCGATGAGCCTCGGGAGCTGGATCCAGGCAAGCCAAGGGCCACATTTGGCCCCCCAGCCTGAGGTTCCCTCCCCCTGCTTTAGAACATTCCCATGGTCATTGCTGTCTGATGGCCCATCCTGGGGGAAGACGCCATTACACACATTCCAAGACACTGGCTGTTGTGACAATCCTTTGTCCTTCTAGGCTGCACTCGGGAGTCTCTGGGGCTACGTCTAGACTGCAAGCCTCTTTCGAAAAGGAGCGTCCAAACTACAACCAGTACTTTTGCAAAAGCAAGCCGTTTTTTCGAAAAAGAGCACCCAGGCAGTCTGGATGCTCTTTCGAAAAAGCACAGTTTGCATAACATCGTGCCTTTTTTCGAAAGAGCACTTTTGAAAAAAGGCATTCTTCCTCGTAAAATGAGGTTTTCCGCAGTCGAAAAAACTGCCGCGTTCTTTCGATTTACTTTTGAAAGTATGCGATAGCAGTCTAGACGCAGGGGAAGTTTTTTCGAAAAAAAGCTACTTTTTTCGAAAAACCTTGTGGTCTAGACACACCCTGGGAGAGTGAGTTCCAACTCCAGCAGCTCATGACACCCAGCTTCCCAGGGTATGTCTACACTACCACCCTAGTTCGAACTAGGGTGGTTAATGTAGGCAACCGAAGTTGCAAATGAAGCCCGGGATTTAAATATCCCGGGCTTCATTTGCATCTTGCCGGGCGCCGCCATTTTTAAAGCCCCGGTAGTTCGGACTCCGTGCCCGCAGCTACACGCGGCACGGAGTAAGTAGTTCGAATTAGGCTTTCTAATTCGAACTACGGTTCCACGAGGTGTACCAGTAGTTCAAATTAGAAAGCCTAATTCAAACTACCTACTCCGTGCTGCGTGTAGCCGCGGGCACGGAGTCCAAACTACCGGGGCTTTAAAAATGGCGGCGCCCGGCAAGATGCAAATGAAGCCCAGGATATTTAAATCCTGGGCTTCATTTGCAACTTCGGTTGCCTACATTAACCACCCTAGTTCGAACTAGGGTGGTAGTGTAGACATACGCCCAGGGATTAATGAGTGCGCTCTAGAGCTTATAGCACAACCATTCTCAGTAATAACGCTAGGTGGAGCTATTCTCTGCTCTCAGCTAACACACGTTCTGCTCCGCTTGCCCATACGTTGTTTAAGGGAAAGCTCATCAACATTAAGATCTTTCTTTTCAAAACTGAAGTTAATTTCTCAATTACACCTTTGTTGTTTGATTGTTTTCAATGGTTGGGCAAATCTGTAGATAAATAGCCAGACTATTTACAGATGTTCCAATTACTTAGGGTATGTCTACACAGCAATGCTAATTTGGGATACCAGAGGTATCTGGAAATAGCTACCCTGCATCTTTTGAACATGTCCGCTATTGTGAAATATAGCAGACGAGCTATATTGGCATGCCTGTAAACCTCATTCCACGAGGGATAAGTGATGTCTTGACATAGCGCTTTATTGCAAAATTTGGTGCCGTGTACACACACCAAATTTCACAATAGCCTATTTCAAAAAGAATCGAAATAAGATACACAATTTATGTAGCGCAAATTGCGTATCTTATTTCAAGCTAAGAGAGCAGTGTAGACACACCCTTAGGGTATGTCTACACTTGCACCCTCTTTTGAGAGAGGGATGCAAATGCAGCTGAGCGAAAGTGCAAATGAAGCGCAGATTTGAATTTCCTGTGCTTCATTTGCATAATCGCAGATTGCCGCTATTTCGAAATACTCTATTTCAAAATAACAAACTCTATGTAGACGCAGTTATTTCAGGAGAAAACCCTTCTTCCGAAATAACCGGTAAACCTCATTGTAGGAGGAATAAGGGTTATTTTGGAAGAAGGGTTTTCTCTTGAAATAACCGCGTCTACACAGCGTTTGTTATTTCGAAATAGGGTATTTCAAAATAGCGGCAGTCTGCAATTATGCAAATGAAGCATAGGAAATTCAAATCCGCGCTTCATTTGCAATTTCGCTCAGCTGCATTTGCATCCCTCTCTCGAAAGAGGGTGCAAGTGTAGAGATACCCTTAGATTTCAGGTAGAGCCCATCTATTTCTTCTGTGGTTGTACAGTGCCTAGCACAATGGGGTCTATATCTAGGACTCCTAGGTCCACAATAATACTAATAAAGGTAATAAATTGAGCTTCAAAACTCTTTGTAATTATCCCCTTATAACAAGACGTAGGCAGAGCTACCATTAGCCCACATTTTCAAGAACGGTCACTGGTTTGGGGTCACTGGTTTGGGGATACTTCCAGTTTTGGGTGTCTCCCATGTAACACCTTGGGTGTGATTTGCAGAGTTGCCAAGCCCCATCAACTCCATCTGAACCTAATGGGAGCAGCGTTGACTTGTTTTGCAACAACATTTTCCTACCCTTCAGTCCAAACTCCTCTGGCATGGGGATGCAGCCATCTTCAACTCCTGGGGCCAGAGGCTTTAGCTGATCTGCCATCTGCACAGTTGGACGGACTTTGCCCTGAGACTCCACTGCTTTTCGGAACTGGGTATAAACATCAGGCAACCTGTGTGGGTCACAGCAGTTAGGGCTGCATAGGAAACAGGCCCCCGCAGTTGTCTCCACACAGCGATACACTGCCCCAGCACAGTAAGTCGATGAAAGGGCAGGGTGAACATTTTAACTGTGAGCTTGTGACCTTAGGAACTGCCCAATGTCTAGTTGTAAAGGGTTCAATGTTTCGTCAGCAAATCCTATGAGGCCTGACAAATTCATTACACCAACCATATTGTTCTCATATTTATCTCTAAGGAATGCTGTATGCGGTAGCAAATAAAAGCTGCTGATACACTGGTCATTAATATCATTGTGCCTTGTATGTTTGCACAACATATGAGAAACGCTGGATACGTACTGATATGCTATCAAGTCTGCAACCAAATCAAGGAAGAAACTGGTTTTTCCCATACAAGAGGGAAGGTAGCTAATATACATTAAAGAAGCCTCATTTAGGCTAAGGCCCAGTCTCTGTCATCTGGAAAGTTGCTCTGGTAGATACCTCTGGCAGACAATAAAATGAGCGAGGTGGATGAAATGATCTGCATTTCTCCTGTTCCTCAGCACAGAGAAGAGGGGCGTGTGAAGGAAGACACCCTCAGTGCTCGGCTTAGAGAGCAGGTCTGAAACAGGCCAGGGCAGGCTCAGCCAAGGCAAAGTCTGGATGCTCCTATCTAGCCATTGTACTAAGTGCGGGGGCCACTGTGAGCACAGACAGCATTCGCCCTGCTTGTCCTGCGGGAAATGCAGTCAGCCAGCCATGTGGGCACCAGGGCCTTTGTCACCCTGGGACAAACAAAGAAGCAACAGGAGCAAACTGTGCCTTTTGGGGGAGGTGAAAACAATTAATAAATAAAAGGCCCCCTCCCTCACCAATGGTACAGAAGGGCCAAGAGACTCCTCCCCACCCCCACTGGTATAGAGGGTCAAGAAGCCCCTCCCCTGTGGAGCAGGTGGGTCATACAGGCTTCCCCAGCCCTCCTCCGGCTGGGGTAGATGGGCCCAGAGGACCCTGGGGCAGAGACTCAGCTGGTGCACCAATGGTACAGCTGGAAGGACCCCCTTGAGTGTGCCCTGACTTTAGGTAGGTGGGCAATGCTGGGGGTAGGGTTAAGACCTGGTGCCCTGACCCTGTTCCCCAGCGGTAGCACCTGGCGGAGCAGGGTGAGCCTTGGTGCCCCGACCCCGATCCCCAGCTGAAGCGCTGGGAGGACTGGTCGAGGGTGGACCTGGATGAGGCCCACCTGTGGCTACACCCCTGTAGTGTACATTGTCATAACTCCATTAAAGCCAACAGAGCTATGACAACTCGCACCACCTGAGGATCCGCCCTCTGACCCTGCAGTGAATGCAATCGGCGGAGGGTGGGGGGAAAATGGGCAGCATCCCCACTCACAGTGACCGGTCTACCTGGAAATGTGGCTGAAGGGCAGGTCGTCCCGGTGATAGAGAGTGGATGCCCAGAAGGTCTGGATCTTCACCCCGTGATGAGCACACACCCGCTGCAGCGCCTTCTCCACGTCCAGCTCCTCTGTCGTAGCCTAGGGCCAACGGGGACGCTCCTGTCAGCTCACCCAACCTGCAGCTGGACATGCGACTGAGAGCACATGGAATGCCTCCCGCACACCCAGAGCCCTGCTCAGGAGCTCTCTCCTTTCCTCGATTTGTCTTTGGCCTCAATCCCTCGCACCCCTTCTATTGAGAGGCGAGCACAAGCAAAAAGCCAACCATTCCTAGAGACGCTGTGTCCTGGTTTTCATGTATCAGATAAACACCCATCAGCGGAACCCAACTACCCATCGACCTGTCTGCTATTACATCCTGACCCCGCGCCCTTGGAAGCCAGTGGGAAATCCTTCCTCTGAATGCACAGACCTCACATCAAGCTCTTAATGGGCCAATTTCTTGTAGGCACCATAGCAGCATTGGCTGTTGGGAAGGACTCTGAAGGAGAAGAGGAACAGCTCAAGGAGAATGAGCCATGGGCAGCAGGCACGAAGCTCTGGGTCCACAGCATACTGATGTCCAGGGGCAGCTTTCCACTCACCTCAGTGGGCTGTGCATCATGCCCAGAGAGAGTTGTAGGAAAAGTGGCCACACGGCGCCGCTGGTGGAGCCAGGACTCGATGTGACAAGATGGGGTAAGCAGGGAGGGGCACAGCTGTGATGGGCTTTTAACTCAGATTGAGCAGCTTGTGCTGGGGGATGAATGGATTTTTAAGTCCAGACCCACGCGAAGGGATCTCTTCTGAAGGGCTGTGGCTGTGATTCGGATGGGTGGCTAGGGACATTGTGGGTTTCCAGTAGCGGCTAACAGTTGGTTCAATGAGGATAAGCTGGGCCAGCCCCTATCACTGTCCCAGACCCCACACCTGACTCCCTTCTGCGCCTTACTCTGGCTTCGGACACGGGCAGTTCAGATTCCAACCAACAGAGGGGAGTGCTGGCCAGTTACTTGCCACCCCGTTCAGCATGAGCAAGGCCGTCCCTACCAATAACACACAATAGGCAGCTGCATAGGACACCACAAAATTTGGGGCACCAAATTGCCCATATTTTGTGGTGTCCTAGGCAACTGCATGCTACGTATCGGTGCCAGCTCCAGAGGCTAGTCCATCCCTCGGCTGGCCTCCCTGTGGGCTTTGTGCCGGCTCCAGTGACCAGCCCCATCCTCGAGCTGGCTTTCTTGTGGGCTCAGTGCTGGCTTCAGCAGCCAGCTCCATCCCCCGGCCAGCCTCCCTGCAGGCTCAGTGCAGATCCCACAGCCAGCCACATCTCCTGCTCGGCTCTCCAGTGGGCTGTGCCCAGCCACCACTCACCAAGTGAAAATGCTGCTTCTTTCCGACTGGCTGTGTGGCTGCCCCCTGCTCCTCCTTAGTTCTCCAGCCTATGCTGGCCCTCCAACCTCCCACCTGCTCCCTTGAGGCTGTCAGGTGAGCCTCCCTCCTTGTCCTACTCCCCACAACTCTGGGCCTGCCCCCCACAGCTTCTGCCCCCGAAGCTCCCACCCCCACAGAGGGCATCCCCCCCCACAGGGGGTGCAGATGTCCAGGCTGTGTAGGGCAGCAGCATTATTAAGGTTGGCCCTGATTATGAGGCTTCTACTTCTCTGACTGCAGGGAAGAACCCCTCTGCCCCCTCCTCACCCATGCAGCTGCTACACCAGAGCAGCCAATTCCTTGCTCTCCCGCCGAGCTCCTCCCTCGTGCTGACACGGGGCCAGATTTGCTGGGCAAATCGGTGGAGCTCCACTTCTGCCAACAGCACGACGTCCTACCCACAAGATAAGGCCTCTCTCCTCCTTTCCTTCCTGTCCCTGTCCGAATGCGGGGACACTTTCGCTGCCTCCATTTCCCTATGCACCACTACGCTGGGCTCTTTGCTGGCACCTCCTTGTTCCCACTGCACCCTGCCTGCCTGCTCTTGGCTCCCACTCTGAGACAGGAGTCAGGGCGTGGTAGCATGTGCACATCATTTCTGCAGTTTGAGGGACATTCAGCAGTTTCCAGCAGGAGGAAGAATATTGCTCTGCCCCATGGCAACTGGAAACTGCCTTCCTTCAAGGCTCAGTGCTTCAGTATGGTCATGCATTATCAGTGGCCTATAGCCTGTATTCCCTACAGGTCACCCACAACTGACACCCATCCTCCACTTGGACCCAAGACATCCCTGGGAACAAGCCAGCTTCTGAAGGGTTAATGACATCACAGCAGCAGAGAATATCGGGGACTCTGAGTTCACATGGTCAACACGGCCTTGCCATAAACATTCTTGCCAATTTTTTGCTGAATCAACAGGGTTTAAACTTTTATTTTACCTCTTCATGGAAAGCCACGGCAGTCACAGAGCCCAGCTGCGTAATAAACTCATGAACCACATCTTCTGGAGTCCCTTTCCTCACCACCAAATTACTATGGACACACAAAATTGGAATGAATTAGGCTTTCTGCGATTACTTATTATTAATAATTATTTGTAATAACATGGCACCTAGGAGCCCCAGTCATGGACTAGGATCCCATCATGCCAGGAGCTGTACAAGAACAGACGAAAACGATGATCCTGCCCCAAACAGCTTGCAGTCCAAGTATGAGACAAGAGACATCAGTTGGATACAGCCAGTCAGAGCTAGGAGCATAAAAAAAAGAGACATTTATTATTGCCTCTCTTGTCCTTTTTTCCCGCAATTTCACATGTGCATGGCCCTCACTGTTTATGGCCTGTTGAATGCAGACTGTTTGGGACACGATGTCATCTGCATTTGTATTTGAGAGGGAAAAGAGAAAAGATTAATTTATTAACATCAAGAAAAGCAGGGCAGTGACGCTATATAGCTCTGCGATAGTTAAAGCAACGCCATCAGAACAATTTAAATTCAGCACTTTACGTTACACAAAAATACTGCTTCAAGAGGGGGCTTGGATGGGTTTCAGTTTGGGGTGGGGCAGAGAGACATGCTATGGAAATGGCTGTTCCTCTTCATGCATCCAACATGAACATAAGGGGAGAGTTATGCACGAGGTGGGGGGAGAGGGGACAAACCACTATACATGGATAAGGTAAGGGAAAATTACAATCAGATCTGTTAATACTTGGATTTAAAGGACATGGCAAAAATTAACACTGGCGCATAGGTCTGAATGATCTTAAAAACCAGAGGTCTCTACCACTGGATCCAAAGAAGACCCTTTGACCTGCAGAAGTGTTAGGTTTTATAAAATCTTTGTGAGTCAGTCACATGGCATCACACACACTTGAGCAGTACTGAGTCGCTCTAGTAGAGGGCAGCGACACATATACATACTGGCCAGTTTGTTACCTTTGTTAGGGATTCTAACTGGTCCTCCTAAAGCAACATAACCCTTTTCACAGATCATAGCATTCTGCAGACCCAAAGGTACATTTCTGGTGTGATGATTCACAACTGTCACCTCCATGTCCCTCAGGAGAAGGCAAGCCAGCTGCTGCGCATTCTGTTAGTCAAGGACTAACACCTTGCTGTGACAATACTAATGTGAAGAAAAAGTGCTTGGAAGATTTTAGGTCCTGTCCATGCTGGTTATTGCTAATAACTTTCCCTAAGCAGCGTGGATAAGGAGATTTTCCTGAGAACCGTGTTAACAGTGGTATAACACTGATCTATGGTCTACACAGAACGCGATAGTCCATGCTGATCTGGGAAAACATCTTTCATGCATCAAGAACTAACATTGAGCTCTACAGGAAGCTTCCTAGGGATAGGAAGAGAATGGGGATGGGGAGACCAGCCTTCAACTTCCTTCTCTACCACAAATTTCCTGTTACTTAGACAATTGGTCTCAGTTTCCACCTGCAATAAAAGTACTTCCCTACGACACGGGGGTGTTGTGAGAATAAATACTTCATATAATGTGAGGTGCTCAGCTATTATGGTAATTAAGGTGTGAAGGGATGGACAAGGCCCTGAGACCCCCCCCGGCTGGAGGTTTCTGGCATTATCATACCCTGCGCTAAAAAAAAAAAAGGACCATAGAGAAGTCCTTCAGGCATATTAGAGTGGCTGCAGGAGGCTCCAACCAGTCATGGGACAGACAGGAAGGCCTATAAGAAGAAGCTGTAAGATCAGCCTCAGCTCAGTGCCTCTGGAGCCCTGAAGGAGTAAAGATGGGGTGACTAGTTGAGGGAGAAGTAGCACCTTGGACAGCTCCGTGTGGGGAGCTAGTGTGGACAGAAGTTAAGACAGAGATAAAGCCCTCCCATACCGTGGTCAGGATGCGGAAACTGTCTCCAGGAGGGAAGCTCTGGAGGCACCACTCTCTCAGTGTGGGGAAACCAAATGGGAGACTATACAGAAGGCACCAAGATAGGCCTCTCTTAAGTACGTATCCTGGAAGGGGGTTGAGTGATTTGCACCAGGCTGTATGACTTGTCTGAAAGGCTTATAAAGAAGAGTGCAGGCACACACGCTCAGCAGGAGGTGAGTATTGCCCCATTACAGGGAGCCATATAAGGACCTTAAATAAATATGCCATAACCATTGACAATTGGGTTTCTTCCATAATATGAATCCTCTAATTCTGGCTGCTGCTAGAGACAGGCTATTATTGGGCTAGTATGGGAACTCCTGTGTATTTATGTATTAGCAGCAGGTGCTTAACCTCGGTTATCACAAGCTTAGCTTGTACCATAGGGCAGACAAGTTTTAAGGAAGAGGAGCTGGAAGAATCAAGTGGGTTAAACAATAAAACAGACGCATGTTCATGACAAATCCCCATGTACCTTCCTTTTTTCTTGAGCGTTTGTCTTAGGTCCTTCACGCTTTCCAGTAAAAATTTTAGTCGGTAGGGCCCAGTCTTTGGGAAACCATAGTGATAGGTTCTTAGGTAGTGTCTTGGATCAAAGCAGTAGAGAGGAATGATATAGTCTGCGTTATTCTGAGCCCAGTGCAGTACCTGGAAATAGAGAGGAGCATTTATGATGTCAGTGCCCCAGGTGTCTTCTTTCTGTACAACAATTCATGGCACCATTTCCAATTTTCCTTTATTCACACTCCTAAAGAAAAAGGGAAACATGCAACTGGATATCGTACCATACGTTTGTTATATGACAGAGTCACTCTCTCTGCCAGGGCCCGATCCTGCACAAACTTTGTAGGCAAAACTCCCATTGACTTAAAACAGACCAGGATCAGGGTGTAAAAATTAAATACTATAAAAATTAAATACTTCGTCAAAGGAGCTTCCACAGCACAGGGGTGAAAGGTCAGTAGGATCATGCTGACTAGTCAGTAATCAGATCCCCACAGAAGTGCTTCAAGGCTAACCGGGGGATGCTATTGCTTTTATAGCCACTACCTCCAACCTCTCCCTTCCCATTCACAGAGCCAGAACCCTTCACCACAGCCAGGTACCACTGAGTAGTGATAGGGACACTCTCCCATCATATCATCCCCACTCTTGCCCTACGCTGGGATCTGCTGTCCTCTCAGACCCTGTGCTGGCAGGAAGAGAAGTGAAAATGTGGCCCTAATTGAACAGGCTAAAATTTGTGGGCAGTGTTCAGAATAAGCTACTGGGCATGAAAAGCTCAGAGTGATATTTGTAATAGCAGGAGTGCTCTCTCCAGACTCCTATTCAAATTCCAATCTGGGTACAGTAGACTTCCGATAATCCAGAACCTTTGGGATTTAGGTGGTGCTGGATTATCGGATATGCTGGACTATCAGGAGGTACCATAAAATGGTTACCGTATATTATATATATATATACACACACACACACATATACACTGTATATAAAGTCTTTTTAACCCTTTTTATTGTAGCACAAGCATTGTCCAGGGGCAGACTGACTCGGTCCCGTCCAGTTTTGCTTGGTTCAGCTGCTGCCGCTGCTGCCTTGTGACTCGTTTTTTGCCAAAGCTCACTCATTAGTCTCTTGCCATTTTGATGCCGGACTATCAGGAGTGCCGTACAATTGGATGCTGGACTATTGGAGTTTTACTGTAATTGCTGTTGGCCTCTCTAAACTCTCCTCAAAAAATGAGGAGTAACATTAGTTCGGACTAAGGGCTTTAGTCCGAACTAACGCGTCCTGGCGCGCACTTCCTGGTTCGAATCAGCTGTGATTCGAACTAGCGCGCCAGCGAGATCATGTTAATGGAGCGCGGGATATTTAAATCCCCGCTTCATTAACTAGTTCGATTGTCTCCATTTGCATCCCTAGTTCGAACTAGGGATGCAGTGTAGACATACCCCTCTAGTCAGGGAGGACACTGCACTGATACTTGATTCCTAAAGCCAAGCGCTGCTCAGAACTCTTTCAGCTCCAAGAATCCCAGTATGTCCCATTCCTCCCTCCCAGGGATGATGTCTGCAATGTGCTTGGAGACCCTTGGATGGCTGTTGCTAAGGATGTAAAAACCACGTACAATAGTTAACTGGTTAAATGATTTGTTTGATCGGTTATCCAGGAGCTGCTCCGGTCCCAGCTCTCCACAGCCATGGGCCGCAGGGGCTGTTCCTTCCCCACTACAGCAGGGACTGCTCCAAACCTGCCGCAGCCATGGCCATGTGGGGAGGAACTCTGGTTAGCCAGTAAGCATGCTGGTAAGGCATATACTTACCAGTTACCTGGTTAATCTTTAACATCCCTTCCTGGTGCTATAACAAATACATGGCACAACCCATGATACACTAAGGGCAATGCAAATCATGATCACTAGGGCCCTACCAAATTGATGGCCCCTTTGGTTAATTTCCTGGTCATAGGATTTAAAATTCCTAAATTTTGTCATTTCAACAACTTGAAATCTGAAATGTCATGGTGTTGTAGTTGTAGGGGTCCTGACCCCAAAAGGAATTGTGAGAAGGGGACAGAAGGTTATCGAGGGGGTTCCATTTCTGCTATTCTTACTTCTGCACTATTGGTGGTGGTAGCGGCAGCAGCAGTGCAGAAGGATTACATAGTATGGTACTGTCACCCTTATGTTGGCAGTGCTGCCTGCAGAGCTGGGCCCTCAGTCAGCAGCGACTCCTCTCCAGCCTCCCAGCTCGGAAGGTAGTGCAAAAGCAGAGCTGTCCCATCCATTGGACTATGTGAGATTGCTTCCCGGGGCCTCAGGTGGCAGGAGGGATTCCCAGGGGCTGGGTGCACTCCCACCCCTATGCCCACCCCCACGCCCACCCCTGCCGTAGTGGGAGCTGCAAGAAGCAGAGTGGCCTAGCCCCAGAGTGCTTCACGCCATCATCTCCCAGCCAAGCCAGTGCCCTTGCTGGCCCCAGACCTCCCTGGTAGTCCCCTGGATCAGTTGCTTGGAAGAGGGGAGGGTCTCAGAGAAGGAGCACAATGGGGGCAGTGCAGGGGTGTGAAGAGGTGGGGCAAAGGGGCGGAGCTGGGGCAGGAAGAGGGGGTAGGGCTGGAGCAG